CTATATCATTATAAAAAAATTTTAATTACAATTGTATGTGCTCGATTATGTGGGAACACTACTTTGATGGCTCGATAGGATGATTGTTCTAATGATTTATAATTCTTATAATAATAAGTTATTAGGTAGGTACTATGCAGACTCTACAAAATGTAAAATATTTTAGACATTATAATATCAGATCTATATAAAATGTACATATGTACTTTAAGTATTTGATTAAGATTTGAACTCATTAGGGTCCCCTAATCATTTTTAATTACAACAAAAACATCAAAATAAATTTAATTTAAAACTAGTGCCGTGTAAATTTTTCTGTTTCATCGCAGTTTTTTGTTAAGTTGTTACCTATTATCTGCAATAGTTAAATAGGTATAACTTGAGCTATGTTGAGCTATGAAAAAACGATTATTAGGTAATAATAAACATAAATGGACATATTTAATTTTCTTTTTTTTTCATGTATACAGTTACACTCTGTATAGTAAATACGTTATAAGAATAAACATAATTATTAATTTGAATGTTTACATGGTTTTCTAAACATTAAAATTGTATTTGACTATGATACCTAGTTTATTATTTCTATTATTAATTAATAGTTAGGTTAACTGTTTAAGCCTTGCTAATACCAAATAACATATTAAGGTAAATAGTCTAATATATTTTTACTATATTTCTGAAACATTAATTTTCTACAATATACAAGTATCTATATTAAATCTTTTCAAAATCACCCTTTAAACATGACGATCAATTTACTTAAATATTTGATTTTATCGATGTGGCAACGACCAACAAATGATTCAATTTACACTAATCTGTATATACCATTATATATTTTACTACTCAGTACTATTACTATATTAAGGATTGTAATATTGTGTACAATTCGTTGATATGTAAATTTTACACTTGGCAAGAATTTAAACTGGAAAATATATGAACATATAATATACAATTTAACGTGGTTGGTATTAAAGTTCATTGTATGGTGACCTGGTGAAGAGCGGTGGTTGGACGCAGTCACTAATATATAAAAAAAAAATATTAATGTGTGAAGCGGTCGAGCAGGCTCCCAGATGGGTGACCACCTGGGTTCTTTGTGACGATCTATCTGCCTGATATAAAAAAAACACGTACCAACCGTAGCCCAGACACAAACCGAAGATGTTTGCTGAGTGTCAAAAAAACAAAGTTCATTTTATGATAAATTTTATTTTTGAACTTCTCGCATGACATAGTGAGTTGCAAGTTAAAAATAATGGTGTGGAATATTGTCTACATTAAAAACCAACTAATAACCTACCAGTTTGAAGTCTTAAAAAAAAAATGATACTTTAACCTCCTAGTTATTTACCCAAGGACTTCAATTGACTGCGATGAAAATAGTGTTTGTACCTTTTTCTTTGCTAGTCAACAATGTCAAAAAAAATAAAACACTATATGTTTCTTTAAATTAATAGTATTCGTTATAAATGTAGTAAAATGTATAATAATATAATAATTTGTGATTAATTGATATTTTTTTCTCAAATTGCATCTAAATTGACAACGGCAATGAACACATTTTTGAATTATTAAAAAAATAATCGTCTAGTTTAAATCGTGATGAAATGTATTTGTTGTATTTTTTAAGATGATTTAAATCGGTGGTGGGTTGTTATTGGTTGACATCTCACTGCAGTGTTCGCGTGATGCCCGATGTCAATTATTTTACTATTATACAGACCGTATCCATTATAATATAAATATCGATATACTTCAGAGTTTATATTTTAGCCTTTAGGATCAGATTATCAAAATACAATACAACACGACTAGTAACTGTTCTTGTAATTCTCTTGTGTTCTTGTAACCTAACCAATATTTGTATTATAATATATTTTAATTTATTACTGGATAACATTAAGATATTTTATTTTAAAAATCTTTATCTAGATATTATTTTAATTATCTATTCCCAACACTGGAATCATTTCGTTTAAGCATTTGAAATTCATTTTTTTACGATGGATATTCAACCGTTGGTTAATCATTTATCCTCAAACGATTTTGTTGTAATTCAAAAATTAACTATAAATAAGATACTTTCTTATAAGAAATAATTTATATTATTTCCTATTCAATTTTGACAAAGCCTAATAAATGTAGGAAATTATACTAAGTAACCTAAAAATATAAATGTTGACTAGGAATTATGATCAGTGACTTATATTTTTTAGCCTTTAGGAAAAATAATATACCTAGGGGCTCATTTTTTTCCTACAACTAAAGTGATTTTTAGTCAAATTTATTTTTACATAGCAATATGCTAATAATATGTTGAGTTACATATTTATAATAACAATCAAGATATGCACTCTTACATTTTTTAAATCCCTTTTAAGCTCCAGTAATACTATCTAAGCCGGCGCTGATTCTCCTATTGTTGAGAACCAGTTTTGAAATACATAGATATAGTAGTTCCAAAAATGGTTGTCTGCATGGATGCGATTCCGTTATTGTGTAATTATGTCTCAAAAATCTGGTGGCTTCTTATTTTGAATAGGGTATATTATAAAACATAGTATTATTTTTATACTTAGTTACTATACACAGCTTTTATAAATATTTATCTTCATAAGTTCATAACCATACTTCAGTAATTTTTTACTAACAACAAGATTTTGAGGTGACAATTAGTGTGCTCGATCAATATTATATAATTAAAGTTAGTACCCTTACGGGCAGTTGTTGAGTTGTTCTCATCAGGATAGTTTCAGGAATTTTTCAATTGGATGATTAAAAAAAAATTTTTCCGGTTTTCTATACATTTAGCTGATAGTAAGCGTTCATTGTTAAGGGGATTCGATATTGTGATTTTCTGTTTTTGTCCAACACACGCGTGACATAGTATTTTAGACGTGTTTTTTGCCAAACATTCCAATTGATCTATAGAAGCGATAAGATTTCTGAAAACAGATTTGAATTTATCGTCAAGTCTACTTGAAATCGACTATCCCCATTTTTGATTTTTGATTTTAACTTCTCCAAAAATTGAAATAACAGAATTTTTAAATACGCTTTTTGAATATGACTTTTTAAAAAATTTGGGGGATAATATCAAAAATGTGAGAAGGTCGATTTCAAGTAAACTTGACGACAAATTCAAATTTGTTTTCAGAATTCCTATCGCTTCATTAGATCAATTGGTATGTTTGGAAAAAACACATCTAAAATACTATGTCGCGCGTGTGTTAGACAAAAACAGAAAATCATGGTATCGAATCCCCTTAATGTTTTTACTTTTTTCAACATTTATCAACTAGAAAAAATTATTTTTATATGTGTCTGTCATCAGATGTGATCATTTTGAGGCAGTGAAAATGCTTCGATTATTTTCTTCAACAGTATCTTTTCAGATATGAATGTGAATCTTCTAAAAAGAAAAAATTCCCAATAGTTTTCAAAAGCGTTAGGTAAAACAAATAACAATTTGAGGAAAATCTGAGATTTTTACGCAGTCAGTTTTTGAAAAAAAATCGATTTTGCTTTTTAGTGTAAACTAAAAAAATAACTGTAGATATACATGACATTTTCACTGAATTAAATTTAGCAATTTATATGTACCATAATATTTTAAAATATTTATTATACCTTTTTGATCTATTTATAGGAATAAGAAAATGTCGAGTTTTTTTAAATTATTTTTATATCAATTTGATAAAAAACTTTTGCTCTGTCAAAAAAATTGAAAATTGAATGCAACGTTTCTCCTAAGTTGTTGTTAGTGGAAATTATTTAAGAAGTTGAGTGTGAATTCACATTAATTTTTTATGAGCGTCTGAAGTTAAAATTTTGACAAAATTCATCCAAATCACGAATACTGGAAACGTATTTCGAGTTCAAAATTCACAAAAAAATATTGTAAATTTAAATTATGTTTAAATGGTTTTGAGACAATATTTAGATAAATCAATATGTCATTCCCTCAAAAATATTATCCTCTATCTTTTTTGTAATGGGTGATTTTACTCTAATATTACTTAATAACATAGAAAAAATGATTCTGCGTAAATTTGTTTTTACTATGTTGCGAGTGGGCCAGAGAGAGAAAACAAATAGTGAGTTGACATCCTCTTAACTATTAGTGTTGGCCAACGATATATTTTTAATTATTGAAATCGTATTTATTTTTATATAATTATAACAAGTTACATATTTTTATATAATTATCATATATATATATATATAATATAACAAAAAGCAATACAAAATTAAAAAATAGAAGAAAACACAGAAGAGGATATTATTGCAAATTATTTACAGATTTGTGATGATATTGTTCTTTATGTACAGGAAAATAAAAAATGGTCAACTAAAACCTGGAAAAAAAATTTAAATAAAATATTACGTATTGAAGGTAAGCCTTATTTAGGTTATATAAGAACTAATGAAAAGAAAATATATTATGATTTGTGACAAGTCTTTCAAACGAATGTGTAATACATTATCTGAAAATGATAGAATTAATATATTTACATATTTAAATTGGGATGAGAAACAAATGTATGGTGTCTTATTTTTGTGAAGAAAGTCCCTGTAAAACGTAGAAGGAGAAAAAATTGTAGAAAATCTACATCAATATAATTATTATATCTTGAACCTATAGTACAATCTCACTTACAACTCTAAAATATGTACACAGAAAAATATAAGGAAGAGGGAAAAACATTAGTATCAAGAACTAATAAATTTCATGAACATTTTTAATGAGGAAAACCTGTCATTATTTTCACCTAAAAAAGACCAGTGTGACTTACGTTGTTGCCATACAACTGGAAACATAATAAATGATGAGAATGGCACAAACACGTTGAAAATAAAAATCGAAGCAGAGACGAGAAACACATTGATAAAGAGAAGGGACTTTCAGATCAAATTTTTGTTTTTACCATGGATTTATAGGCTGTTAAAATATGCCCCTCATTGAAAGGTAGTGCATCATACTCACGGTCTTAATAAGTGCCACTACACAGCAATCGGTGGAAGAAGCGCTTCGTTCTCTTCCACGTCGAACGACTGCTCTTAGATTTGGCCGTTACCAGTTGTTCCGTTTCTTCAAGCCGGTGGACTTCAGTATGGTCTTGCTGCGTGCCCGAGGCGTGTTCCGTCGTCTGTACCGAAACTATTATACGGCCGAACGTATCGATAGTATCAGACGGTACGTCCTCTTGGTCCGCCGACGAAAACACTACCGCAATGTTCAGCATCAAGTCACTCGACAGTCGACTTGCCATGTTTATCAGCATAATGTAGCAAAACAATTTCACATTCGCACAGCAGCTGTTGTCCACATCAGTTACGTCAGAACCACTTGACGAAACAGTTTGCGCCCAGTCACCGGCTGCGGCCGAGGAGGCTATCAGCTCCTGACGGAAGACTTCCTAGTCCAACGTCCGCAGGACTAATCTGCCACGCGACGTCCGACTCCGAGCTACATCTCAACGCCGGTCCGGTGACGTCATTATCGTGACCTGTCAGAGTGATGGTCGATTCGTTCTCAGCTCGTCAAAAACTTGTTTCATTAGATCGGAGGACGGTGAGTTCTCAACTCCGGACGAAGTGTTTTGTTCAGCAGCGATAGACATTACCAATAGATTATCTCAATAGATTATTTTATTGTAAAAAGAATAACACGTTTAGAATAATACACAATTCGTAATGGTTCGTTCTGGCAGTAAATAAATAATGAACTGAGACTAGCAAACAAATAATATTTATATTCTAAACTACCTATATGGTTGTTCATAGCAACGATATTTTTAAAACTTTCGTCTATGAAATAACCCAAACAGCAATTTTTGTTTAATAATATTATTATAACATTATAATAACGAATAATATTAGTACCTATAACGCTATTATAATATTATCATTACAAAATGCTGTCTGGGAATATATATTGTACTATAGTTTAATATTATTATCATTAAATGTCAAATTCAAATTTAAAAATAAAAATTTCGCCAAAAAAATTAAATAAGTTAGGACTCGGCTGAATTCCCGGTTTTCAAACGTGTTTTAATACAACCCATTTAGCTATAATTCCATATATTATACTATGTGAAATTTAACAATTTGGTAATTATTATATTTTGGTAACTAATTGTTTAACATTCATGGCTAGAATGAATTTACTTTGAACAGAACCGTTATAAAAACCTAATATGTAAGCATGTGTGCAGACAATCGTAACTGCAGACAAAAAATATATATCTTATAGTGGTAACTAACGGATGAATGGACACGAAGAGGATATAAAGTGTTCTAAAGTTCTATACTAATGTTTAGAAACCTAAAACAGGTAAATCATAATATGACGTACCCATAGAAATCCAATAGGTTAATTTTAGACTACAAAAATTGGTCACAGAATCCAATAACTGTAAATAGGTTATATGTATATAATTGAATAGTTCAATATAATATAATATAATATATATATATATATATACCATTATATTATATATTAAATATATGGGTTTCAAGTTCATCAAACTATTTTTTTCTTTTTAGATAATACATTTTTTAAAACATTCAATACAAATATAGAGTGTACTTGGCACCTTTATATATTAATTTTAATTGTTTTCACGCTCACGATATATATGCGTTGCAGAAACCGTTTTCGCCGACGTCGCTCAGGTCGACGCTGTCCACCACGAACCGTCAGGTGTCCGTCGCCAACGCATCTTCGGCGAGTGGCAAGAGACGCGACTCGCTGTCCAGCTCGGCTGGAGCCTCGTCAGTACGTCGTCTCATCGAAGTGGTCCGAACAACTCCATCCAACATGGGTCCAGTGTACAGTCGGAGATTGTTGTGCCGCAACTACGTCACGCTGTGCCTTGGACATGGCGCGGCCGCCGCCGCTTTGGTTCCGTTTATGGCACTACAGGTTGGTACCTTATATAATATTAGTTATTACTTACACGAAATACGCTTACGACAATATTTTACAAGAGGACACGATGTGAAGAATGACTGCAACAAGTTCTTGAGCCGGAGGGATTGTGTTCTGAAATCGCGACCTATGTTTCATTAGGATTTTTTTTTATGAGATCTGCTGCAGGGTTAGGCGAGTACGTCGCGAGGATTGTTCCAATATATCTGATCATTTTATAATGCAAGTTCGAATATCGTCTTCAATACTCATTATAATATTATTAATATTATATACTTTAGGCTTATATATGACAGGAGACACGAGTCACAACACTTATCTATAGGCCACATAAAGTACAAGTAATGTCACTATAATATTATATTATGTTACTATATTTTGTTTTCACGAAGAATTTTGAATACTAATAAAATACAATTATTTTTAACATGCCAAAATATTTCCGAAATTAATGTGTCTCAATAATAGTATCGTATATTATGCAGCTAAGTGAAAAAAACCTAGAACTCAGCTTCTGCTCACTTATTACTTTCATCTGTCTTATAATGTAGATATATTAGAATATCTATGTTATTATAAAGTCTCTTTTAACGAGAAATACATTTCAATATACAAAATATTTTTCGAATGCGATGCTAATAATATTATTATAGTATTGCTTTAAAATGTTATAATATATTCATTAAATTAATATTAAATTGTTATTTTGCATCGATTAGACTAAATATTTTAATATTTTATTCATTCGGTCGTAGGTATGACTGTCTATGAGTATCACGTTTCTTTTAAACATAATAAGTAATACGGCGTATTATATAGGCGATATAGGTACATATATGCATTGGAGAACTGCATTTTAAAATGTCTTATTGTTATTTGTTATTGATTTATGGTATTTTAATATTAAAGCCTTATTTTTAGGGTTATTGATTAATTATTAATAGCCAATTTTCAAGTTATGTTTGTTAAGTTATTTATTAGAAGTTTTTTGATAAACAATGACCCGTATACAAAAGTTACAATATAGTGAAACTTCCATACAACAAAGTCTCAAGTGGAACATTCGTTATTCAGAACTACATATTATGATTAACAAATAAGGTCATGTTTCTCAAAAATAATAAGTTAAACAGAAAATTTAATTAAATATAATTTCATTGTGGAAGTTTTACTGTATTATATTACTGCTTTTATTATTGGATTATTGGAATATACAAATTACCAGGTAATTTTATAGCGTGAGTATAAATTAATATACAAGGTGGATACACAATTTTAAAGTTATTATATTTCTTCTTATTATTGTACAGATAAATGCATTGATAGCTACTTATTTCGATGTAGGTGCGTCTACTATATATATTTTACTGGTTTAATTAATGATCATTTTGCCTTTGAATAACTTGAAATATACCAAACCAAATATTATGACTAAAGATCATTGATCATAAATATATTTGGGTATTGTAAATATTATCGAATAAATGTAAGCCAAATAGCTTATTAACTATTCAGTCATAAGACAGGGGTGAACTGGAATTAAAAATTGGCCCCAGGGAAACAAAAAATTCAGCTAATAGTAAAATATTTATGAGTTATCGGCCTAGGCGGAGATCGCTCAACCTAGCCAGTCCACCCCTGTCATAAGTTATATAAAATTACAATGGGACTAAAAGCAAATAATTATTTAAAATTTTTTCAAAATAAAACTAACATCACAAGACCCAAATTAATTCTTTTTTGAGAAAAAATAATATAAAAATAGTATAGGTGGTAGTATAATATGTTTGCGTATGGTGCTTAATGGTGGTATCTTTTTCATAACATTATTTTGTAGGTCTCATTAATTTTATTTTTTTTTTAACTATTTGGTTGCATCCACAATTTTATAATATTAACAAAAATAAAATAATTATTGTACACGTAAAAAACATTTTTAGTTTTTGATTGTAATAAATGTGTATAATTTGTTTAAAGTTTAATTGCATGACTATATTAAATGATAATATTATAACACTAATTGTTTAGTGGAAAAAAAATCATTGATTTATCCTTAGAATATGGCATGATTTATTTTTAATGCTGGCCAAAAAATAATAATTTTGGTTATGATTTTGAAAATTGTATAATAATTTTGACAACATTTGAGTTTATTAGTATGTATGCAATCGTTTTGTATACAAAGGATTCCTGTTATTTGACTGCAAATATATATAATCGTGTTTCCAAAGGGGTAAATCGTGCGAATTGAGGTTCTACCTTAGTCCCAACTTACTTGGGTATATGAACCTTTAATTTAGAGTTTAGATTGTATAAACCTAAATACGCGTGATTCCCTTTTATAGCATATGCAAGTCCTGTTATGTAGTAGTAGGTGGACTTTACAAAAATATAAAAGAGACAAATATAAAAACTAATGAGTGCTTATGTGAATCAGACGAGACTGTGTCTATCATGCCCTACGGTAAAATCATTAGTTGTTAAAATAGGTTTCATTATGTTTCTTTCTTCTGATTCTATAGCGAAACCTAAGCCTAATTCCCCTGCAAAAGAAATTTATTGCATACATTTTGTTAATGTTTAAACGTGATACTTACCCTATCCGGTACGCGTCTAATTTGTTTTCATCTACTACGTAATGAATTAAAAATACACGAGTAAAGTTCCGTTAATGAATCTAATATTTCATGTTCCTATCTCACATGATCACATTAGATCTTATAAAAATATTATACTATTATACTAAATTCTTATAATATTAAACTGACGTATGTTTAACCTATAGAAATAAGATAATAACATAACAAATACAATAATGTACTAAGGTATTAAGAATTCAAGTGAAATAAAAATAAAAATGTAAATTATTATTACATGTGCGATGTGCACTGAATCAGATTTTTATTCATAACAAATAAAATACAATGTACCTACCTTTAAAACGGAATAGGAGTTCAAATCAAATTATTTAACATGCTGAGCACGTACTATAGTATTACTTTTAATAGGTATATTTGATGTTAAAAAGAAGACAGAAAAAAAAGATGTAAAAACGAATAGCTTATTTTCCTTTCAGACACCTCTGCTATTATAAAGTATAAGCAGTAACGTTTCGCAAAAACCTTCATATTATTTTAGATTTATACAGATTACCTACGTTGTTGGCCTGTATATCTGTATTTCGATATTGTCGACTTCCTAGCCTATTATTGATTATTAAAGTAAATAACCGTGTAATAAAAGTGTATATATACATCGATTCAGTTCACTATTGATGACTATGCCGATTCCAGATTTAGATATTTCCAACAAGAAAATATATATTTATCATAGTGTGACTGAATATTAATGTCAATATAGTTTTATTGGATACCCTTTTCCGACTTAAGTCTATATAATTCACATTATTTATAGGTATACGATGAATGTATCTCTTACTAGATCCTCACAATAATTATTTTTGTTACACACAATTTGGAGGGTCCTGTATATATTTATAGAATTTTTGATGTAAGGTACAGCGTTATTGTTTGTGATTCGCTTGAATGTCTCACGACAGTTTTAAACGTACTGTGGCTTCAAAAGGAAATTACAAACAAAATATGTGTGTAGTGTTATCGGTATGGCCGATAAATTGTAATTGTTATTATTTTTGTAGTCAGCAAAGGGTCTTATATAATGAAATATTTTTCTAGCTTTTAAATTCATTACAAATCCACAATTTTATTTTTTAATAGTTTTACATTATCAGCAAACATTTAAAATACTGAAAAGTCGTAATAGTCTCAGGTAAAAAATGTTTCAGCAACGTATAAACTTTAGTAGACATTTTGCAACCCTGACCACTCGATAAGTGATGAAGAATTTAAACAAATTGAAGAAATTAATTAACACTTCTCCCACCTGCTTTATACTTTTAGTAGTGTTAGACACCAAAAAAGTGTCAACTAGAAGCAGAAATTTTAGTCTTGAAATACCAAAGTTACACAACTATTATTATTCTACATTTTTACATACTATAACTTAACATACCAACATACTTGAACAATAATAATAAAATTCGTCGTGAAAAAAAATGTGATGTTGGTATCTTTCAACATTTTGAATATACCTAAATACGTGAGCGAATCACAGCTTAATAGCGTTTTCGATCTGACTGCACTAAGGCACAGTTGTGTACACGGGTGACATGATAAAAATTACTATCATCAGTGTAATAGATAATACAAATTCCACACGATGGTGCAGTATAATTTTTAATTAAACGAATGCAGAAAAACGACACCTTGAATTTTGGTGGTGTGCCGGTGTGGAAAATTATATTATAATATCGTTATAATATTGCAAGACATGTTTCACTTCATTATCATACAACAATGAAGTAGAGTTCTCAGGTTCACCAGTGTGGTGTGGTATCAGTGTCCGAGTGTAGTGTGCACTAGTATAGTCAGCTGGAAAACGCTATTAAAAATTGATTAATGCTAATATAATTCTAAGCTAAGTCTATAAATGGCATTATATTGGCAAGAACTAAAAACTAATTTTATGACGCCGTGAATCTTAAGAGTAGATCACTTTATTATATATCAGCGTATAATGTAGTATTAATACAAATTAATATTGTTTTTAAATAACCGTTAATATTAATTATTCAAATATATTATTAATTCCAAAGAGCTAAAAGGTATTAAATAGTATACTTAAGTAGTAATCTAAAGTAATAGTAATCTTTTATAGTTTACCGGTTTAACACTGGTATATCATGTATTTATGTTCCATAAGTGTCCAATTTTTCATCTGTATGAGGTTATTATGCACATTTTATAGTACATATTTCTACCTCAGAATGTAATACGATACAAAGCTTTAAAAATAAATTCATTCTTGATCATATTATTAACGTGTATATAAGTTCTTAACTTCACACACATTTTAATATTTATGTAGGTTCCATGGCTGTTTTCAACTGAAATAAGTTTTACTTTATCATTTGA